GTTGACGTCTGCACTTATTCGCACCTTAAGTGCGTTTTTCTCATCTATTGTGTTCGTCGTTACCGCTCGTGCACTTTAGACGTGGCAAAAAGGAAAGAGATTCTAGAAGGACCATCATCTGTATTTTCAGTCAATTTTATTCTCATGCCCTTCGGAACATCTGGATCATGATCAGATTGCAGGTTAATAGTGGTAAATATTCACAATAAACCCAAAAGTACTGTTGAAGAACCAATTCACCGAAGACTTTCGAGCGCTACTGTATACTACTGAAACACACTGTATAATAACCATCGCTAGTTATAACATTGTCCCACCTAACGGGCAGGTCAACGGTTTCCTTCTCCCAGAACTGGGAAGTTTGAGAGTCAAAGAAGTAACCGACCACTAGTTGAAGGTGGTCGTAGTTGACGAACTGTTTCTTTGCTAAGAAAGCGTTTAGGAGCCAGAACAAATCGTAATCTCAGCGGGCAATATCACGTGAATAGGGTGGATGTGGAACGGTTTCCCGTCTAGCTTCTTCGATTTTGCACGGGTCTCTAACTATGCGTTGTCGTGGAGGAGGAGCACAAGTTCGTCTATGGCGTCCTTCTCGAACGGCTTGAGCGAGTTTCTGCAGCTGACCGGCATAATGGGGTGCGGTGACGGTGTGGCCTTGCTTGAGCAGTTCGTAGTCCCCATTCCTTTTGAATCTTAAAAGCAGGAAAGAAAAACTTCCTGCTGTCGAGGTCGAATTTAGCTTGCATCCGCGGATTCTATGGCGTCCTTCTCGAACGGATTGAGCGAGTTTCTGCAGCTGACCGGCATAATGGGGTGCGGTGACGGTGTGGCCTTGCTTGAGCAGTTCGTAGTCCCCATTCCTTTTGAATCTTAAAAGCAGGAAAGAAAAACTTCCTGCTGTCGAGGTCGAATTTAGCTTGCATCCGCGGATGTTCCCCTGGCAGAAGGAGACGGCGCGGTGCTTGTTAGCGTCGCAGGGGATCCAGCTTTCACTTGAGTAGCTGAGCCCTCCAGAAACTCCTTGCACTATGGGGAGAAGGAGAGATGACAAATGTATACCCCGGGTGTACCGCATGCTATCGGTCAAACATGAAGTATCCATCGAGTCACCACTTTTTTGTAACCGAGGGCCTAAAGGCGACCGCCAACTGTTCATTGGGCACACCCAAGCCTTGTCGCAAGACTGCGAGTGTCAACTTCCGGATCCTCTTTGACGGTGTCGAGAATGACGGAGTCGGCAACGCCCCTCGTCGCTAACCGCTCCGTCATTCTCCACAGAATCTTTTCTTCGGCGAAGAACTTCCAAAATGTCCTACAACTATGAAACATAGATCATGGATTTAGGCCAAAAACCGAAAATCCCACACTTTTCTAAAAACCCTATCAAGACTTTTCGATCAGCCTATACCATTTGCATTTCAATGTAAAGTTTTTAGCTAATAAACACGTCCAATATTGCTGATGACGTTGAACCAGCAACGGCCCGGATGTATTCGTCTCAAGCAAGTCTTCATGTCGCGGAGAGTTACCATCCACTCACTGCTTCCCGACAAAGCATGGTGAGGTGCCCTGTCTCCCAAACACCATTTGCGTTTGAAAATGAACACTTTATAGCGAACGAGTACACAGAATGTTGGCGATGACGTTGAACTAGCAACGGCCCGGATGTACTCGTCTCAAGACAGGCTTCATGCCACGGAGTGTCACCATCCACTCACCTCGTCCCGACAAAGCATGGTGAGTTGCAACTGTTTCTTCTCGCCGTTTACATTTTAGTATGAACTCTTCCAGCGAATAAGCTCGTCCATTGTTGCTGGTGACGTTGAACGACCAACCGCGCAGCTTTACTCATCTCAAGCAAGCCTTCATGCCGCGGTCAGTCATCCTCCACTGACTGCTTCTCGACAAAGCATGGTACGGTGCCTTTTCTCCCACATGCCGTTTGGTTCGAGTATGAAATCCCTTTCACTTCGTACTGCTGGATTTTTAGCTACTTCACAATTTGGGTGTATTAGTACACAGGGGCCATCATCTTTACCACGCTTTTTGTTTCCTAGAGGATTTTTAGTTGGTAGTCATCGAAGAAAGTCATCAGATGGCCTTCAATAATGCACAGGGCTGATAACGTATCTCCTCTAAGCAAAGCGTGTACCGTACTGCTGTGGAGAATTAGATACTTGCTGACGAGAACGTTGGTATCCTACCAGTAAACTGGACATTGTCAAGCATCCGAATTCTGGAGCATTTGGAGTTTTGTGGTCAAACGAAAAAATATTTAAGTATTAGAATATACACTGCTCCAAATATACGTCCGCACCCGAGTTGCCCGAAATGTCTTGACTCTCCGTGTTTCTAGAAAACTCTCCAATTGGAAGCTGTGAGAAGTATCAATCAAGATTTGCAGACGACACCAAATTTAAATTATAGAATTTCCTAATATTCAGTTTGTCTTCAGTTTTTATAATCTCTGGGCAGCAATATCATCGGAAAAGCGACAGAATTTATCCTTCGTACCGTGAAACATGAATTTCCCCTATTCTCGGGTTGCTGTAAGGCACACGCTCCTTCCTTGCTGGTGTCAGAATCAGCGGCAGAACTTTTATGCAAGATACTGCTCCGATACATATTAGCCGAAGCACCCGAGCGTCATCAAATCTTCCTTCTACGTCAGTTTCGAGGTGTCGAGTAGCTCAAAGGTGCTGTCATTAAAGCATGGCACCAAGATGAAAAAGGTTTATCAAGAATCTTCATGCATGCATGGATGACGGCATCTTCCAGTAATGCGAATTAATGGAGGGCCACCGGATTTCCAAATTTGTAATTTGTCATTTTTTCTTATCTCCTGTGGTTGAATCCATTGCTTTGTTAAGTAGACGTATCTTCTTGCAAAATAGGCGGGTGAAACTTTTCAAAAAAAAGGATATAGAAAACATGGAACTTTCTATTTGAAATTCGGTGTCGTATTTAAAGTTCGCTCGATACTTGTCACAGCTTTCAATTGGAGACTTTTCCAAAAACAGCAAGAGGGTTTTAATCAGGGAAGGATCCCAAGTCGAAGCGGCCATTTGAAATGAGACCTACACAGCTGAACGTGTTTTTGGATGCTGAGTTCAAGTCTGCTTTCCAAATTTGCCGAGCTTTTCTCTAAACGGAGTTATGAGGGTGGTTTCAGGGAGCTTAACATGAGAAAACCTAAATTACATGGATGTGCCTGCTTTCCCAACGGCGGGCTGGTGTGGTGGTAAGTGTGACGCTTCATGGGCGAGAGAATAGTCTTTGGGTTTTGTGGGGGACGGGATTTTTGCATTATATAAAATTTTTCCCTTAAAGACTAAAAAATACTCTCATGGTGATTTTATCACGTTTTGTGACCTTTTAATGCTTTTGCTGATATTTATCTACATGAAGTAATACTTCAGTTTTACTTGTCTGCCCTTGCACTCTGCATTCACAGTAGGATAACTTGCCATCTGAATGAACAAATGTGATTCTCTAGCACGAAATGCTCGAAACAAAGAAGCTTCTCGCGATGGGAGAACGGGATGAAATGAACCCCTAACAGCCCATTGCTTTACACTTACTAACCTCACACAGAAGGAAAACAGAATTGTGTAGGCGTCCCAAAATCACCCGGGTGAGTGCTTAAGTAGCCGGCGGCACACCATAAATAGAAGAGAAATTTTCTAAATCTATCCGCACAGAACTGAAAGTGGACAACCGATAGTAAGCGAAGAGTTGGGTCTCGTGTGTAAGCGCAAAAGTTGAGATCAAGAGTTATTACATATAAGGTGGTGCGTTAAAACATATTTTTAAAAGGGAGTAAGAAATGAGCTCCTATGGGCTGTATTGCCCTCGTGGGAGCCTCGAGCATGGTGTCATTCCCTTCACCTGCTTTAGTGAAGGTAAGACGCATTGAAAAGCCTTCTGGTCTTTGTGATGCCACCGAAGCTCCAAATTTTGCGCACAAAGGAATCTTCACTCATGACAGGTACGTAGGTAGGTAGGAGGAAGTACCAGCAAAGCATCACAAGCCCTTGGAACGTGGTAAAGTCACAATGAGAGTATTCTCTAGTCCTTAAGTGAAAAATTTTATATAATGCAAAAATTCTATCCCCCACAAAATTCGAGCCCGAGTCTCTTGCACATGAAACGTCACGCTTACCACTACACCAAGCCGTCGTTGAGAAAGTAAGCACAGCCATGAAATTTAAGTTTTCTCATGTTGAGTTCCCTGAAACCACCCTCATAACTCCGTTCACAGGAACGCTCGGCAAATTTGGAATGCAGATTTGAACTCAGCATCCAGAAACACGTCCATCAGTGTAGATCTCATTTCAAATGGCCACTTCGACTTGGGATCCCTCCCTGGTAAGATCAATCAAGAGTGGAAGTATATTCATGCGGCGCAATGTAGAATGTTAGAGAAAGAGCCTACCTGTAGAATGACTTCACCAGTGCAACAGCCACAACATACAAGGTGGGCCAAATTATCATGATACAGACATTAAACCGCCGAAAACGAATATCAAGTTAATAAAATAATCCATTTTCAAAACAAAATCACTAATATTCTCATTGACAATGTTCGTTGAGATCCGTTGCCTTCTGCTTCAACACAGCCCCATGCATCCGCGGATCCACCTATGAGGGGACAGAAGATATGTTCGACCCAGCACATCAAAAACTAAGAGTCTTCAATACACCTGCATCTCTGAGCAAGTGCTTGTGACTTTCAATTCACGAAGTGTTCCCCTACACGCCACATTTACTCGATATCCTGGTCACCATCGGCTACAGATATTGCAGTGAGAGACGAGTAGCACTATTCTCTATTAGTGCTCGATTGATTGCTAATAATCAGCTTAAAGGTTAGTTCTGTTCTGAACGCTCATTTGCTTGTCCGTCTGCCCTTCAATGGGAGTGTTAGAACCCTCGACTTCCACTCGACCTCTGAGACGATTAGAGACTCCGGAAATTTGAAATGACGTGATAGTTACTTTTTTTCGAGAAGTTTGCCTGAATAAAACGTGATCAAGGTAGTTTGGCTAGCCCAGCCCCTTCGCTTTTTTGATAGAAAGGTACGGTGTTCAATCCGGCTGATTGGCAGTTCACACTACTTCTAACCCTGAGAAGTCGCTGCGATAACGGGAATCACAATGGAACATTTCAAAACATCAAAGCGCGATTTCAGCCTTTAGAACTGTGTTACTGTTTAATTCATTGGTCAGAAACGTGTCTGATGAAGTTAGAATTACCGCCCATTACCTATTTGCAACCAGCTAGCTTTAAAAATCTGCCCTCTCACTACGGAAGAGAAAGGAACAAGAGCGCAACCTTAGTAGGCTAGAATTTCTTCAACTTCCAAGAAATTTGTAGTGAACATAAGTGAGGCCTCGATGTTAAGCGTCCGGTTGAACAGTAGGCCTCTAATAAGTAGTCGCGGTGACAGCGCAACACAGATCAAAATTTTACCACGCTTCCACGGATCTGTATCGTGGAGCGGACTTCTGCAAGATAGAGAGCAATGCGATAGCACAAATTTCTGCTAGGGTCCGAAAGTAGCCTGAAGGTAGAGATCTCGAGTAGAAAAATAATGTGATGCATTTCATGAGGTTAACTCGTAATCTTTGCTTTATTTTTGTTTAGGAAACTCCTCGTTCACATTGGAATCGGAGAGTTTCTTTTGCCATATTTGTCGCCGGAACGGCTGAAGAGCCGTCTGCATCCGTGCTTGATAGGCTGTGATAACTTCTCAATCTGCGTGAGAACCGCGTGCTGTATAAGTGTGGTGTTGTTATGTAGATTGTTCTTTCTTAACTGGGGTGTCCATTTCGTGACTAGACAAAGCCGCTCTTATTCACTTCTCTTCATCTCCAAGTCTCCTCAATGCTCGTCTTGAAAAAAAAAACAATAATGGTCTCAACTTGGCCTACCACTCGTATCTACTTTATAAATCCCTCGACTAGAGCAATTTGTTAAATCCTCTACAATGGCGCCGAACAGCCGCAATAAAACCCTTTTCGTGGAAAAAAAAAGTATACGGTAATATTCAAACGTCGTGGGACCCACACCTCAATGGTTGCGTCATTTTGAGCGCGTGTTGGCTTTGATTGTGTGCGTCTTTTTAATGCTGGACACGAAATGCTTGATGTGGTAACCAATCTGGATGCAGTTAAGTAGGATAATATTCGAGAGATCGGAAGCTTAGTAGTGGGATGAGTAAGTCCTGAGTATATTCAAATGGCAGCTATTCATCTTTGACGCTATTTGCTGTTCGATTATCATGTGATCTAATGCTATGACAGTTTCAGTTTTTACTAGCTTCTTTTGTGCCAGGAAGGGGACATCGTACCGTAGGGTTTGTAAATTTGGTGCGTAATTGTGGTCTTTGTAGCTGAACACTTTGAATAATATTACAATATTTTCCTGTTCTGATGAATCTTTGCTAAGCTATCATAGTTTTGAAAAGAAATTGTACGGATGCATTTTGAAGTTGGGTAGTTTTCATCGTCAAAATATATTGCTCTTTCGCACACACGTCTAGCACTCTTTTAAGTAGTATTACTTTTCAGATGATACTGAATGTGTTGCTGACCCGCCTTGCTCTTTTTCAACTTGAGCTACATAGAGTGATCTTAAATCAAACAGCCAAACAGCCCCCATAATTAGACCGGCTGTAATACGTTCTTGTTTGGCGTATGCAGAGAATTATGATGTCAAATTACAGTATGTCGCGCTGATAACCATCTGAGTTTAGATTGTTTCCAAATAGATCGCTCTCCAATCTTTCTTACTTAGTGAGCAGTGAGTAGTTTTCGGTGAAAACACAGTGAGAATGGTTTCCGTTTGTTTTTGCACCCATTCCTGTTTCTCGCTGATATATTGTCCTACTGACCAATTCCTAATTCCTTACATGAAGCATGGGTTCCCTCACCAAGCGTTCGTGCCCTCCTTGAGCTGAGGGCAAGAACTCCATTTTCTCGACAGAATAATTTCTGTGCACAAGCGCAGACCAGGCTCTGTGGCTCTGTGCTAGTGCTTAGCAATCATTCTAGCGCCTTGTCTTCCGCTGCGACTTTTTAAAACGGGTGCTGCTTCTTGCTTTTGTCTAACTAAGTTGGCTTGTCTTTTTTAGGCGAGAGTGCCTTCTGCGATTTCCACTTTCGGTCTTCTTGAAACCCAGGCATGTCACACATATTTCACAGTGCTTTGCCGTACAGGTTTGCTATGATGTCGACATAATAAACAGTTCCGTCATAACAAATCTGTACGGCAAAGCCTTGTGGAATATAAGTGCGTTCTGCATCCAGATCAGCTTCCCGTTGCTTTCTTATGAGTTGTTGAAAGCCTTCCGGTTACCAACTCACTCGACTGAAACTGACTCTAGAGATAAAGCGTATTCGGATCTTTTCAGGAGGTCTATAACAGAGACGATTCCGAAATGTTTCAGTCGAATTTGGGAAGAGAGGTGATTATTCCCGTTGCTCAGTCGAATTTGGGAAGAGAGGTGATTATTGAGGTAGGAGTATGAAGTCTATGCACACCGTTTTCCACTCTTTTTTGAAGCGCCGAATTTCGAATGTCTCGGGGAGGAAAGTATCATTGCATAAATATCTTGAGCAGTTTTCATTCTTGCTCAGGTGTGATTTAAACTTCATGAAGGAAATGTATTAGTTTCAGGGATCTAACACTGACCCTCCAAAGCTTAGTGACAGATGTTCGCTGCAGACACTCCCGGTGATGTGCTCACGTTCGCGGGGATCATCTCAAAGCAGCGTTCATGGTTTTGAGACTAGCAGTGGTGGATTGTGGTACCATTTCTCGGTATGAACTAAGACTTGGACTTTGCCATTTAGATGATTAAGCGTATAGGGCATCAAAATGATTCCATCTCGTAACTGTTTTCTGATGCGGTTTTTAATAATCTACTATCTACACATCAGTTTTCAGAATCCTGAACGTATTCAAAATTCCTCATCCAGTAATGCTAAAGCAGGTCACATGGGAGTTGGAACATCCACCAAAACTAGAGTTCAAGTAACATCCCAAGCTTCTTCCAATAAGGTGAAACATGTTTTCCAAGTTTGGCCACGTTTCTTTTAAAACTTTACTTGGTTTGTCATCGTTGTTTTTTGAGACTTCCCAGCGCAGTCGTTCATCATCAAGAACACGTCAAAATGAGGTGCATTTCTCTTCGATTCCTCAGCTTTTTAGCCATCCAGATGACCGGTTTGTTGTCGACTCAAGTGGAGAGGTGAGCCTCATTACGCGCAGTAGCATGTTTCTGTTTTTGTCTGCCCAGAAACTCATTGTGGAAAGCCTGCCTCAGCAACCTTAGTTTGTTCGACCATAATCCATGATTTTTATTAGTAACGAGGTGTTTGAGTTGCTCCAATCTCTCTAGTAACCGGATTTTTCGTGAAGTATTTAGAGCTTATATGTTCGGATAATCTTCCTGCAGAAAAGTAATGCCCAGATATTGTGTTAGTTTCCTAGCGTAACGTACCAGATTCACCAGTGATTTGTCATGTTGGCCGAAGTGTTGTTAAAAGGCGGAATAAATTCAAAGCGTAACTAGTTAACCTGATGAGTGATTGAACGGTGCATCCTCTACAAACTTCTCTTTAAGCCCTTCCGACCAACTGCGGAGCATGAACGAACTCCCAAAGTTGTAAATGTTGGCTCACGCAATCTTGTTGCTAATTGCGAGAGTAGAAGCAGTTTGCCGGAATTCCATCAAGTGAGTACACTTTCCAAACTTTCAAACTGCTTCATTCTTTCTCCCAAATATCCGATGCTCCCTCCATCTATTGTATCCTAGGCTACTGTGGCTATGGATTCCCAACTTCTGACCGTTCCGGTTCAAAGCGGTACCGAGTCGAACGTTGAGAGTGATGTAAGTTCTTCGTTGAAAAAAAAAATTGTTTGAAAAAAGATTAGACAGTGCATTCTTTCAGAATCTTTTGATGTTACTAGAGAAATGGTCATCATCTTTCTTTCAAAAAGTTTCTTGCTTTGTAGATGGACCTGCCGAGTCAAGCACCCTCTCTTAAAAGCATTGACATCAATCCACCACCTGACGTTCCACCCGCTCTGGTTGTGACGGATGCGCTCACGGTTAGTTTTTATTGGAAATGCGCATGGTCATTAGATCGTACGCTTATATCAAATTTATGGCATCTTGGTTTGTTGTCCTAGTTCTGTCTCTTGTCGCACTCCTTTTGGGAGTGGATACTTCCGCCCTCTTAGTCATTTAGAATCCGCACAGTATCAGTCCTCGTCGCTTACCCAAGTTTCACAATGATTTTTGAGCTTTTTCTAAGTAAGCCTGCCATTATTTCTGTCGTCATAGTAGAAGTAGTCGCAGCCTATGTAACTTCTCGATACTTGTGAGAATTTTTAGCTTTTCACCTTAAACTTATTTGGATTTTTTAAATTTCCTTGATTAATTCAAACTTTCTCCTTTTCACCTTCTCAAAGGCTTTCACCTGCATCAGCTCTCGAGGGCAGGTTGGGCTAGGATGCAGCATCCTCATCCAACCTGCCCTCGTGGGCTGATGCATATGTGGCAAATTTAGTGGTTGATGTGATATGGCTTCATATGATCTTCTAAATAATGTTTAATGTTTAGCAGAAATTCCTTTCAGATTTTTCGTGTTTGAGAATTCCAGACGTGTCTACTACTATATCGAAGAATATATTTTCAGCCGAAACGAGCTCCGATCGCTATTGAGGATCAAGATGGTCACAATTCACCGGCTGGTCTGAATAGGACCATTTTCTCACGCCCAGCATTTCGAAGGCGGCGATTCAAAGAGGTGCTCTTAAGGACGGCTTTATATGGTTGCGTGTAGGAATGTTGAGTTGTCTGAAGCGAGTATCATATAAACATCCTGAATCGAGAAGCCCTACGGCGATGGGATTGTCGCCAGTGTACGACACGCTTGAGGATTACTCCATGGTCAAGTGGTTACCCTTCTTTGTCCATTTGCCAACCTTCCGTAGGTTTCTTGGGGAAACCGAGTCTCTTGCATCCACTAGGAAGGCTAACTTTAAGCATAAGGTGTGTTTATAGTGGCCGGAGTAAAAAAAAAACTCGCCTCGTACTTATAGACTGAACAGGTTTTAAGTTGCTGTGGTCCAAATTGGGTTTAGCTAGAGGATCATATCTGTCGAAGGCCTTCTAATTGGCAGATAGTTGGATGCGAGCAACTGACTCATTACGAAGTTCATCACTGACAGTTCTGAGAATCTTATTTGGAGTTAGCTAAATAAATACTAGAAAATACGACAATAAAGAATACTAGAATCACATGCTTCTGCGCTAGTATTCCATCAAAGTACAATACATAGAGTGATGACTGAAAAATTTGTGTCGGCACAGAACACTGGCAGTCTAATCGAGGGCGTTTTCTTTGAACTAATGAAACAGTTTTGTGATTTCTTGTTGCATAAATTTTTATATAGCTTCTTTTATTGATCGCTTGAGTTAGTTAACTCAGAATATCTGATAGTGTTGAACAATCTAATAATGGTTAAGCTGCCTGATGCGTGTTCCACGAACGATTAGGGTCTGTAATTTTCTGTTCTTCTTCTTCACAGGCAACAATTAGATGGCAGTGAATACCATAGACCTTCTCATAGTGATGTGTTTGGCGCTTAGTTTGTGAGAATTATTCGAGCCACCAGGCAGCTACGCACGCTCTTGCGTGCGCTAGGGGGTCTAGCAATGAGGGACGGAGCCACATGAGCTTTTGATTTTCATTATAGAACTTTATCATCTGA